CCATCTTACTAGTTTTGCCTCTGCATTATTCCAAAATTCAAAAACAAACTTGCGAAATGAACATAAACATCCGCCATGTACAGTAAAAATTATTTGACAAATAGATTTTGGGTTGTCATATAACGGCTTTTAAGAATAAATTTAAAACTGGGGAAATATGTAGGAAGCTAGGCAAATAGTTCATAGTAAATCTTTATTAAGTGTTTAAAAGAAAAAGCAAAAACTTGCGTGAAAATCGTTTTGTCAATTTTTGTTATCAATTTTTACTTATAATTCTTGCCATACTGACAATTAAACTTATACTGAAATTCATAATGGCTGTCAATGGGGTAATATCAGTCATCACGCTGGCTATCCTGTAGGGAAAACAGGGGCTACTCAAGGTCATTTGATTATTCCTAATGTTGATAGTAGGAGTGTGGGTTCCAGTTTGTCTATACTTCCGTGCCTAGTCCTATAAGTCTGACAGCTGTCAAAACGTAATTCTTAGATTCGGTTGAGTAATGAGTATAGTATATATTAAAAAGTTAAATTAAACGCGATAAAATCCATAAAAATTGGTTTCATTTAATATGTAGTCTTCGCGTAAATATAATAAATGATTATGTTTTTACTTCAATAAGTTTATAGGAAGGTAATTACAAAGCTTCTGAACATAAACATCCACTTCAAAAGTGCTATACCCATTACACAGGCTTTCAATGTTCACGAAGTTTGTCACATTTATATTTTATTTTCGGTTCATAATTTTCGAAAAAGCCACAGGACCTTTCAATGACATCCACGACTTTTTCTGCCACTAAAGCGACGCCACTTAATTGTGAGGTATATTTGACTGAACTCTCCACCAAAGTGTTGTTGGCAACAATATGTGTTCAAGCGACGATATTATGCAGGCAGCCGCAGTATTTATAATTTTTACTAAACAAAGTATTATGAACATTAGTAACTAGGTTTAAACTCGCAAGTTTGCTATGATAGAGTGTTTCTTCTGTTCTTGTACTATTATTTGTTCTGTCATAACAGCGAATATTCGCGGCATCTCTATTCATATCATATATCATATATTATACCCAATTTATAAACACGATAAGCACTGTTGGTATCAAACAATAAGGCCAGTTTCCTAATTTTAATCTGTACACGTCTAACTACCTCCTTCTTTCGATTGTCGGTTAAGAAAAAATTATTTTAAATAATTTTGTATAGTTACTTACATGTGTTTCATTTATTCCCTTTTAGACATATAACCTGGGTTCATTTCTGTCGGTTAAAAAAAGAAGCCGTTGGTAGGCAAACCACCTTGGAGCATAAGAAGCCGCAGCTCCAGATTTATTATCATCTTCAATTTTTTTCTTCTCCCTGAAAAACTGTTCCGTCAAATTTTTATTTTTCTTTGAATTTCTAGTTCGGTTAGACCTTAGCATCACTTATATTATTCCATGCATTCTTTTTTTATTTTATATTTATAATTTTCATTACACACATCCCATAATATATTTTGTAAACAATATAAATTAAATAATGTGTCGATTAACTCGTTCTTCCACGTGTCAGACATATTGCCAACTAATGTCAAAGAGTGTATATAGTAACTCTCCTATACAGGAACGAATATTTCCAAAAAGCGTCTCCACAGAGGGAACAAATGTTTGCAACAAGCATATTTCTTTGATGTTACCGCCGAAAATGGAAACACGGTTCCCGACATTGTTTACAATTTTTGTTGCCAACACTAGGTAATTACAGAAACATTTGTCATCATCGCGTGTTGACTACACAAATGTTGGTAACTTTTCTTTTGTGGAGACACAATATGACCAATGTGCGCCTATATGTTGCCAATATGGCGTTTGTTTATCGCCGTCTAGTATATAATCTGCAGACTAGTATATATCTGTGGTTTATTTTGTAGATACCAACTCGGAATAATTACGAATCAAGTTAACTCGAGTTAAAATTCACGCAACTAGAGCTTAAACTCGAGTTAAATTATTCGCGTTGAGTAGTACGAAAAAGAGTAAATGATTTATTACAAATAACTTTTTTATAAATTTGTATTTCTATCTAGCTCTTTGGTGGGTTGGGATAAGTTACATTTGGCGTTCATTTAGAATATGATGTATCTTACAACTTAACCACCCTATTCGGGTATTACAATAATAAGTCTGTGACTGACATAACTATGTTGATCATAAATCATAATTAATTAAAGTTATAAAAGTAATTAAATTACATAACTTCGCTATTATAAAATTAATTAAAAAAAATTAAAAAATAAATAAAATAAAAAATATTAAATATTAAATCACAAATTATTTTTGTTGTAGCTAAATGCTCTTTGTAACAAAGCGCACATAATGAACGACATGTAACAGCCCAAACTTGAGTTAGGATGATCTAACTCGATTAAGGCGCAACTCGAGTTGACCCATCACTACTTCGTTTGTTTACTTTTATTGGCGTCGGTTTCATAAAATTGTCACTGTTATGAATGGCAGTAAAAGTGAAAATCTTTACACGGGTAAGAGAATTTTGTTGTAGAGGAAATAGGGTGCCTTTGTTATTATGAATTTTGTGGACGTTCCATATGGTATCATACATATAAATGCCTAAAAAGGAACGAATAAGCCTGATAAGTTATGAAAGAAGTCAAGTATAATTGCTGTTTTGTGTTATCTATGACCTCATCTAATTAAAAGTAATAAAAAAAGCTGGCAATATTTATATACACAAAAAGATGATCAAAATGATGTTACGACTTCAGTTTGACCATTTTTTAAAAAAATAATTTTGCGTGATAACCTGTCCGTACATTATTATATGATATGTACAACTGTTTGCGTATTAATAAATTACCACCTTATTACGAAGAAACAAGAAGCAAATGGATTCAAGCATTGCATTCTACTAAAAAATATCAAAGTATAGTGTTGTTTGCAGTCTGCATTTCAGAAAAGAAGACTTTTTGACGAAACCTTACAAAAAATTAAATATTAACTGTGGTACATTTTTATAATACAATGCAGGCGTTATTTAGCCCTCCAGACAACGTATGGCAAGCTAATAACTTTAAAGATTATCGGCAATCATGAAAGTTGCGTCAGAAACTACATAAAAGAATATTTTTTTAGCAATGTGTAATCAATATTCAATCACAATCGCATTACATAATGTAATATATGATTTAGATCTTGTTAGTAATTCACTTATCAAAATCATTAAAAAAAAGTCTTATATAACGCTCTTATAATATATTGAAATTTCTGTGGGGGAGAAAAGGACATAGGACAAACAAGAAAAAAACATCTACTGATGTCATTTGATATTCTTTGGTTTTATATATTCTTTTTTTTATCAAATGACATCTACTGATGTCATCTGATATTCTATTATTACTATATTCGGCGCAACTTCTTCACCATGTACAGCGTTATACATCAAGAACAGAGACGCAGAATATTTCGAAAAAAACTTCTCCCTGAGCGGTCAAAGAAATAAAGAAGAACTAATAGATGGATGACTACATCACAAAATTTCTGAATGAAGAAGAAGCAACAGAAGTATCGACAAATGTGGACTACATTCATCGTCTTTATTTTACGTGGACGGGTGTCGAATCGACGATCTGTGTTACGTCACTTCAACATGAATACCGAGACCTCTACAGTACCTGTAGGAGGTAACGACATCGAGAAGACTTTAAGATTACTATGGGAAGTAAAAGAAGACTCCATCGGTTCCCACCTAAATGAAGAGAGAAGCCTTGAGCGTGATTATGTCACTATTTGATTCGCATGGTCAGGTCTCACCACTCACAATATGCATGTTAAATAATAATACTAATAATAATAATACACTAACCGATTTATTAAACAATTCCATAGCAAACATATTTTTATTTCACAACAATATCATTACACGAATTAAAAGATAAATAATATACAGTTAAAAAATAACAACGCTTCTACTTAAAAGATGTTAGTGGATGTTTTGTCCGTAATGATTTTAAATTATGGGCACCCACTTAGAAAAAAAGTAACGTACCTTATTAGGACCTCTCTTTTCGGGCAGTACTTATTGGAAAGTAAACCCAAAGAGTATACAATCACTACGTTTACAATGGAACTTTGTGTGTTGTGGTTTCAAGTACATTAATGGTAAATATCTCGTAATAACATGGTACTCGAGTCAGTACCTCGATACGAGTCTATCTGACTGAATCGGCACACAGCTATATCTATATCATGCAATATGTGCCGATCTATTTTAATATTATCCTAGCTTGCCACATGTTTATTAATCTGGGGTATATCTATGGTATTAACTACGAGATACCTTGGATTAATAAATTTGGCGGAAACTAAAGCTTAAACGAGCGGCGGATTGCTGCTCCTCTATTATTGTTTAAATAATCGTTTGAAGTGGATTTTCATATGTATAAGTAGTGCCATTTTGTGTATCAAATGTCTGCGCATGTTAACTATTAGTGGGAATGATGAAAGAAGTGCTCCGATGGTGGTGAATCTCAAGATAACGTGTCTGTCTGCTTAGGCCGCTTGAGATACTATCGCCAACTGTCTGCTGGCTCAAGTTACAGTCAAAATCTTCCGAAGGCTGCGCAATGTGACGCATCAACATATTGTGAAGCAGACTAGTATAAAAGATTATTATCATTTGATACTGAGATAAAATGAAGACATGGCTTAACGAACAAGCATCCAAGCCAAACATCTTAATAATTTTTTTATTGTTCATTCATTTCATTCGTTCATTTCATTTTCATTTTTCATTCATATTTTCTAATTCGTCACGAGCCGGTAAATAATTTGTCATTTGTATTTGCTATTATTTGCTAATTGCTATTGCAATTGCGAATGTGATAACAACTTGTGAGTGTTCTTGGAGTGTACCTAGCGCACAGAACTGCATATAATTCTTCGTTAAAATTATGTTATTATTTCTACACGTTCAGTGTTAGTAGGTAATTTGTGCATACAATGGGGGCCCATGTTTCAAGAAATGATTTTGAGTGGGTATATACTGAAGAACCGCACGCTAGCCGTCGGAAAATAATTTTAGGTAAGTGCTTTATTTGATGCTTGCTTTATGATCTATCCAAACTAAGCGAAGATTTTTCGAAAATAAAATTTTCAGGTTGATAGATAAACCATTTACCCTATCACGAGATAAAATTTACTATCATTAAATTAATAAAAATAAAATTTTCTGTAAATCACATATTAAGAAACCCGTCGTAATATCCGTAAATAAATATTGAGATTATTTTTATTGAATGTCAAGATTGCTCGTGAACACTTTACGTTAGTCGATTGTATTTGAAATTCTAAAGAATTTAAAAATAGATGCTGATGAATGTTATCATTTTATTGTTATGTCAGTAGTTTATGTTATTATCAGTAATTTTTACATTCGGAACGGTTAACAAAATTAAAAATTGATTTATTTTGTTTACAATTAAAGTGAAAAACCAACTTTGGCCTCATGCTCACGGGGCGGTTTTTCGCCGGAGCTAAGCCCGGCGTCAAACCAGGTCTACGTCCAGTCGTCAGTATTGAAAGGGACACTGAACCCAATCACACGACGCTGGCGCTAGCAGTTGCCCGGTGGGCCGGCGGTACATATGATGATAAGTGGCTACTGTAGTCTATGCACACTAGCATCCACTTTCAAATAAAGAAAGCTAAAGATGAGGCATCTCTGAGGATTAAAGATGAAATGCCTTACAGCCTGTGACTACACTGGCTGTCTATACCCTTCAGATCTGAAAACAACAGTGCTTACACTGTTTTAGTGCTCCTAGGCTATTTACTTTTTTATTTTAAATGCCCCCTTTTGTTGAACACCTGTTGCTTCAATCACTTTTGGCCTTCCTCAAATCCAACCATGCTTTTTATCTACAAAGTTGCCATTAAAAATTTTAAATGACTGTTTCTCCAGATCCTCCCAACATTAGCTAGTAAACCTTATAAAATTCATTATGTTAAAAAAATATTTATTATTTACTAAGTGCTCACTGTAATATTACCTGACTATGTAGCCCACTAGGCTATCAAAGATGCCATTAAATTTTTAAAGGACTGTTTCTCCAGATCCTCCTAACTTTAGGTAGTAAACCTGTTTAAAACCTTTTTTAAATTCATTATGTTAAAAAAAAAAACAACAACAACAAACATTAATAAGTGCTTACTGTAAATTTACCTGACCATGTAGCCTATGGGCTCAAGCCACCATCATCAAAAAAGGCTATATTATAACCATTAAATTTGGAACACAACAGTTTTCCTAGTCCCAAAGGTTTCCTGATAGAGAATGCCACATTGAGTCCATCCAAAATTTATATTTTTTGCCGACTTCCAAAAAGGAAACTCAATTTGATTTTATGTTATTGTTTTTTTTATGTATATATATTTTTTACATCATAACTTTTTACTGGGTGAACCAATTTCGAAGATTCTTTTTTTATTTGAAAGTTGGTACTTCTCGTTGATCAAGGTCAGAGCAATAGTTTTTGAGTTATTCTTAATAACTTATTATTGAAGTCAGCTGTACAAATTTTTTTATTTTAAATTATTATGAGTTGCAATTGTAATATCATAAATTTGAATTCAGGATCCTTATGAACTATTGCAATAATTATAATGCACTTTTGTGTGCTACAGTAGAAGGTTCTAATATTTTTATTAAAATTGACAGAATCTCATTTGTGATTAATAAAATAACATGTTTTTTTTAAATAAAACAACTACTGATTTTTTCTGTTTCCATCCATTACAGCTCATTTAAAGTCTACTGCTGAAGATAGGCCTCCCACATAAATTGCACTTTCAGAGGAATTCTGCTATAGTGGTCACACTTGGGTGCAGGATTAGCAATAACAGTTTTTTTTTTGCTTGGCAGGCGGAAGACAATTGCTATAATAGACATGCCCGTCGCCGATCTAAATATTATGTTACATCTTGTGTACCTTAATGCAATGGTATACTGTTATTCATTGGATGTCATAACATCTTTGTGGTATTTGCCATAATCGCTTCTTATGATATCCACGGGGTTTCATTAAGGTCATGGCATTCTCTTACGCTGTCACCCCACGGCATTCTAGGTCAAGAATTGGTTTTACCAACATTTTTTATTGCACAATTAGGCTGGCAAATATCATGGGTCTATAAAATACATCAGTTATAGAGTAAAACAAAATTGCACAGATAAAGTGCAAGTATATTCAATTCTAAAATGTAATATGACAATGGTGCAAATCATTATTTGGCCCCAAGATTTTTGTCCAAACTACAAACCTTAACAAAGCATCAAGTTCTGTTATTATTGGCATGAGCATGAGCCATCAGGATCAAATCATGATTATTATCAAAAGTCCTCTGCTGAACATAGGCCGCCCCCATAGATTGACTCATACAAACACGTGCTATAGTTGCTGCACTTGGTAGGCGGTTTGGCTACTGCAGTTTTTTATTATTTTGAGTTGTTATCAGGAAGATGCTGCTGCCCATCTTCCGCTTCATTTCTCTCTGTTGCCTCTAAGGCACCAAAGAGGATTATATGAGGTAGTGGATTTGCTTGCACCACTACTACACATATATATCTGATCAAATGTCTAGATTTCATTAAAAGTAAAGTAAATTTGCAGCCTATTTACGTCCCACTGCTGGGCACAGGCCTCCTCACATTTCTGAGAGGGTTTTAGGGCAAGGAAATGTCTGCCGCGCTGCCCCAATGCGTGTTGGCGAACTTCACATGTCATTGAAATTTTTTTTTAATTCTCAGACATGCGGGTTTCCTCACGATGTTTTCCTTCACCACTGAGCATGTGGTAAATCAGCACTTAAAATTGTAATTAACAATTTCATTGGTGCCGGTAGAGATCGAACCTGGGTTGCTCGAGTACTGTGAAGCTTACAGCGAGCGCTAACCATCTGAGCTACCGTGGCTCTCATTATTCACAGTAATATTCTCATTAACATTTCACTTAAAATGTTTATTATAACGATGGTAACAAGATAACAAGTCTTAATGTTTCTTGTGTTTGCTTTGTTAACAAATGCTAATAAAGGTTGATTGTTGCATCTATTAAGAGGCTACTGTGAGAAGATTGTTACTGGCCATTTTGAATAGTTTGGTTTTGAAGAAATTAGAAGTCTTTTTTAGCAAATTTTTTTAATGTATTTCATTAATTGAAACAAACTGCAATTACCAATCAGCCTGCCACGCATGGTGACTACCATAGGTATGTCCATCCAAGGACTGTTTACAAGTTGATGAGCCAGTATAATCACAGGCTATTAGGCATTCCATCTTAGTCCATGCATCATCCATGGCATCCATGGCTTGCAATAGCCACTTTCCATCAGCTCGTATAAGCTCGTATATCACTTCAGTTATATTAAAAAAAAATCATCTGACAAATATTTTTACTATGTAGGTCCTTGTATAACATGAATAAAAACTTATAAATATTTGTTTAATGGGTGGTGTTATAGCATACATTAGAAAGCATGAATATTGTTAATTATGTAGAAATTATTTTATTTTATAGTTCTTTGAAATCAGTTTGTGTTTCATTAAAAGTTTAATTTCCCATTTTGTGTGGACTAAGAAATATCCCAAGCTCAAGGTAACAACTAGAATGTGGTCTAAACAGTAACATTAAAAACTTCATCTCCTGTTTTCGCTCCCTTAGAGGTAGAATTAATAATATTAATTAATATTTCATATTAAAATTTACATGGGAGTAAAATATGAATCATTAAAGTCTCCTTACTATTTTTAAGCAAACATTCAGTTTAGGTAGGTATATCAGTACAATGTTAGCAATCACTTACCATCAAGTGAGCCGCATACTCCTTTGTCCTTTCTTATTGAATTTTGTTTTTAATAATAATAATAATCACAACACGTACTTATAGAATTTACGTAATGGAAGTTGTTTTTCAATGGTGTATTTGTGACTTGTAATTTATTATATATAGTTTCCCTAATAATTAATTTTGGATTCCATTTCAGTATTGCCACATATTATTTTTCTTCAAAAATTCTTTAAATTATACTCATATATGTTTATACTGTGTATATAATTTATACAGATTATACTGCTTATTTTATATAACAATCTGGTAAGAAATGCAGGAAGTGTAGGGATGCAGGTGGCTCAGTAACATGCTTTGTGCCATTCCTTGGGTAAGGTCTACTCATATGGTCAGCATTGGACCGCAGCATAAACTAGAACAAATCTATCAAATGTGAAGTGAATTTGTTGTGACCAGGATTAAGAAAGGAATGCTTAGAAATAATTAATAAGAAAGAGTGACAAAGCAAATTAATGCTGTAGAAATGAGGGCAGAGTAAGCAAGGAACAGCCTAGAGAAAAGTTCATCAACCAAATTGACGATATATTTATGATGAACCAAATTAAGAGTAACCGATGAGCATGTATGCATAGATATATGGATGTGAATGAAACGAGAGAGGGTATGTAAGGATTGTGTCAAATGGAAGCCTGGAGTTTTAGTCTACTTCATTGGTGACAGGTGTTTGTCACTCTTTCCTCGTTTATTATTTCTTATGACCAAACCACTGAAGCATTCCTTTCTTAATCCTGCTCATAACATCATCTTATACACTATACTTCTCTTATAACACAATTGCTCACCCGTCTTGCAGATTCAGCCCTAACATACTCTTCAGTGACCGCATTACTACAGCATTTATTCTACTCTTGTGCTTCTTCTACCACACCCTACTTTCACTACCATACATTGAGGTAGGGCCTAACACAGTATTGTGAATTGCCATGTGTGCCTTTTTTGTCACATTCTGACTTCCCACAATAGAGTGAAGAGCCCCATTTACTCTATATGCTGTGTTCAGTTGTCGTTCTATATCCTTATCATATCTACTATCCCTGCTAAATACATATCCTAAAACCCAAATACACAAACTCATCCACTTGCTCAACCAACTACCTTACTATATTTATATTACATATCGTTTTACTTTCTTTTACACAACAGTCATTTGACGGTTAACTCATCCATTCTTAATCC